CCGCCTTGCCCCTGAGAATCGCCATCGCGGGCAGCTCGACGCCGCCGGGTCGCGTCCAGCGAGTCCGCGTCGCCGACGGCGTAGGCCGTCGCCATGGGCACGTAGGGCTCCGCGGCGGCGACCGCGACGGGCGCCGGCGGGTAGGGCCGCGCCGCCGCCGGAGGCGGCGCGCGCGGGCGCGCGTTGGTCGCGATGCCCGCGACGGCGAAGACCGCGAGCCCGGCGACGGCCGCGAAGACGCCCACGGCGACGTAGACCCGCGAGCCGCCGGCCGACTTCTTGCTCGCGCCGGCGAGGACGTCGTCGTCGCTCTCACCGCAGGCCGTCGCGTTGGCTAGCAAGCAGACGTCCCCGGCGGAAAGAGCGCCGGCGTAGAGCCGGAGCTCGTCGAGCGCGCCCACGAGCCCGAAGCCGTCCTTGGCCCGCTCGCCGAGGCGCAGCCGCTGGTCCGCGCCCGTGTCCAGAGCGGCCGCGCCGTCCCGCGCGAGGGACCCGTCGAAGTAGAGCGCCCAGGTCGCGCCGTCGTAGGCGACGCAGTAGTGGTGCCAGCCGCCGTCGTCGGACCCGTCGAGCGCCACGTACGTCGCCAGCGAAGCGTCGCCGTAGAACTGGACGCGGACGTGGGCGTCGTCGTCGAAGGTCAGGAGGCCGAACTCGCCGTCCTCGACGTAGGACCCGTAGGTGAAGAGGGCGCCGTGGTCGAAGTCGTCGAGCCGCGCCCAGACGCAGGCGGTCCTCGGGCTGCCGCCGGAGATGGCGGCCGTCGCGGCCGCGGGGAAGTCCACGGCGTCGTCGCCGTCGAAGGCCAGCGCGCCGTCGCCGTCCCAGCCCGCCGTCGCCGCCGCGCCGCGGATCGTCCCGTCGAGGCTGCCGTCGCTGGCCTCGGATGCCGTGCCGTCGTCGAAGGAGTAGTGCGCGACGAGGGACGCGTTCGATGCGGCAGCGCCGCGCGCGACGACCGCGGCGAGCGCGATGAGGGACGCGATCATGATCTAGATCATCGTCGATCTAGGCGGCGGTCACGGCGCGAGAATGCTCGATTACCATGCCGTGATTTGGGCTGCAACACCCATGCAAGCATGTGCTCGTTGATGCTGGGTTGCAGCATAGAGCAAGCTATGGCGAAGATCCTCGGCCTTTTCGTCCTCTCCGGCGCCGCGTGGGGCCTGGCCCCGTCGTCCCGCGGCCTCCAGTCCACCCGCGGCCTCCAGTCCACCCGCGGCCTCTTCCAGTCCACCCGCGCGCTCCCGTCGTCGCGCGCCGCGGCGAGACCAGCGCGGTACGTGGGCCTGCGGAGCGACCCCAGCGACGACGACGACGACGAGCCCTTGCTCGAGCGGCGGCTCAGCACGACCGAGGAGTCGGTCGCGGCGGCGACCCTCACCGCGGCGGCGGCGGCCCTCGCCGGCGTCGAGGTCCTCGACGCGGGCTTCCTGTCGAGCGCGCTCCTCGTCGGCGCGGCGGTCGGCTTCGCCGCGGAGAACGAGCGGGACTACGGCGTCGGCGACGTCGCGCGCGGCCTCGGGAAGATGGGCTGGAAGGCCTTCGAGGCGGCGCGCAAGGCGCCCGACGCGGCCGCGGAGGCGTCGGAGGCCACGATGGAGGCCGCGTCGAGCTTCGACGACAAAATCTCCCGGATCCGAAAGGACCTCGAGGCGGACAAGCGGCGGGCGGCCGCGGAGGCGCCCAAGTTCGCGGCGGAGGAGTAGGCCGAAACGACCTTAGTTCCCCAGGATGCCTAGGATGCAGTCGTAGAAGGCCGCGACGAAGCCGTGGCCGGTGATCTCGAGGAACAGGTCCCGGGAGTGGGACGCGACGGTCCAGATGAAGACGTTGGCGCCGCCGAGGGCCGCGACGACCTCGAACCAGGTGCCCGGCCGCGTGATCGTCGCGACCTGGGCGAACTGGGACGCGCGGATCCGCAGGAGCGCGGTGCGATTCGCGTTCTTGCCGTCGTAGAAGAGGTCGCTCTGGAAGGGCTCGGCGCTCGCGTCGATGATTTTTGGGTCGTCGTCGGCGAGGGCCGCCTGGCGCAGGAACGACGCCCGCGCCGACCGGCTCTGCTTCTCCTTGAGCGTCTGCCCGACGAAGACCGTCTTGCGCTGCCCCGGCTCCACGTCGAGCTCGACGTACATCGTCGACCGCGGCGACGTGATCGTCACGGAGAGCACGGGCGCAAACACCCCCTCGTCGCCGTAGACGGTCTCCTCGTCGAAGGGGATCGTCACGTCGACGCCGTCGCCGTAGCTCGGGCTGTAGCAGAGCTCGAACTCGAACGCCGCGTCCGCGCCGCGGTCCGCGACCGTCCTGAAGTCGTCGGCGGCGCACTTGTCCGTGGCCGCGTAGGCGTGCGTCACGGTCACGAATTGCGTCGGCCGCTCCTGGCCCCAGCCGTCGTAGCAGCCCCAGGGCGTCGAGCACGCGAACGCGACGTCGACGGGGATCGCCGGCACGTCGCCGTCGCTCGACCGCGCGAGGCGCGTCGCCGTCACGGACTCGCGGCCGAGGAAGTCGCTGATGACGACCGCGGCGAAGATCACGAGGCATCCGAACCAGAGGCCGCCGAAGAACACGTCCGTCTTCGGCGTCGACGCGACCTCGTCGTCGCGGTGGTCCTCGACGTTGAACGGGTTCAGCTTCGACTTCATGGTCTCCAGCGTCGTGCGCGTCGGCAGCTCCTCCGGAACGGGCGCCGCTGCGTCGTCATCGCCGCCGTCGACCGGCGCACCGTCGCCCGGCGAGAACAAGCTCTTGAGCTCCTGCGGCGGCGGTGCTTCTGCTTTTTCTTCTTCGCGTGATGATTTTTGCGCTTCTTCGTCCACGTTGGTGCCTCCTAGACAGAGATCCATCGTGCAATGCGGGCTCGTGTGTTCTGTTCACCTTGAACTGTTAGAGCTCGCCCCACATCCCAAAGCCGCGACCTATTACGCCCGCTCCTCCGCCGCGAGGCCGATGCACTCGTCCAGGATCGCGAAGGCCGCGTCCATGTCCGCGCGCGTCGCCGTGAGCGGCGGGCACAGCGTGATGATGTTGCCCATCGTGAGCTTGAAGGACAGGCCCCGCTCCAGCGCGGCGTACATGACGCTCTCCGCGGCGTCGAAGGCGCGGCCCTTGGTCGCCCGGTCCGTGACGAGCTCGATGCCCAGCAGGAGCCCGATGCCGCGGACGTCGCCGATCAGCTCGTGCTTGCCCATCAGCGCGCGCATCCGCTCCAGGGAGTACGCGCCGAGCGCCTCGGCGTTGGCCATGAGGTCCTCGTCGTCGATGAAGTCGATGGTCGCCTGGGCCGCCGCGCAGGCGACGGGCGACTTCTCGTGCGTGTAGTGCCCTAGCGCGACGCGCCGGCAGCTCTCGTTCAGCTTTTCGGAAGCGATGAGCGCCGCGATGGGCATGACGCCGCCGCCGAGGCCCTTGCCGACGACGACCATGTCCGGCACGACGCCGAACTTCTCGAAGGTGAAGAACGTGCCCGTGCGGCCCAGCGAGTTGGGGATCTCGTCGAAGATGAGGAGCGCGCCGTGCTTGTCGCACGACGCGCGCACGCTTTGCCAGTAGCCCGGCGGCGGCACGTAGGGCGTCCAGCGCACGGGCTCGGCGACGACGCAGGCGATGTCGCCCTCCTTTTCCAGGATGTAGTCGATGTACTTGGCCGAGGCCATGGCGTCCGGGAAGCCGCTCTCCTCGCAGCGGTAGTCGTCGGGAGGGGGGACGTGCTGCGCGCCGGGCATGAGCGGCCCCACGTTCCCGCGGAAGACCTGCTCGCCGCCGACGGAGATGCAGTCCAGGGACGCGCCGTGGAACGAGTCCCACATGGACAGCGTCTTGTGGCGGCCCGTCGCGTAGCGCGCGAGCTTCAGCGCCATGCCGATCGCGGACGTGCCGCCCGGCGCGAAGAGCACGCGGCTCAGGGGGTCCGGCGCCTTCTCCGTCAGCGTCTTCGCGAGCTTGACGGCCGTCTTGTTCGTGTAGCGCCGCGTGCAGAAGGGCAGGTCGTCGAGCTGGTCCTTGATGGCCTGCGTGACCTTGTGATTGCCGAAGCCGACCTGGTGCACGGAGTTGCCGTGGAAGTCCATGTATTTCCGGCCCTCGAGGTCCTCGACGTGGATGCCAGCGGCGCCTTTGAGCGCGTTCAGGCAGGGCGTGCTCAGCGTCTGGTGGAGGAAGTAGGTCGCGTCCTCCTCGAGGAGCCGCGCCGTCTCGTCGCCGATGTGCGCCGCCGTGAACTGGGCCCGCCTGTCGGACAGGTTGATGTCGCCCTCGCTCTTCAGGTGGTCGACGTTCTCGTCGACGCTCGGCACAGCGCTGAGTGCGCGCGTCGGGCGCACGGCGCGGGCTGCCCGGCGCGAGAATGCGAGTATGGCCGCCATATCGCCTTCGGCAAGTGCGAGGAAAGAACGACTTCAATACACAGCGCCGCATTCGAGGGCAGCATGGGCGCAACAGCGTCGAGCGAGACCGCGCCTGGGGCGGTGCTCGACCACGCCGCCGCCGTCCGCGCCTACCTCTTCGAGGGCGGCGCGCCGCGCGTCTTCACGGGCAAGATCGACCAGCTCCACGGGGCGACGGAGCTCGTCTACAAAGTCACCCAGGAGCTGCCCGAGGCGCACGCGGCGCTCGCGAAGCGGCGCGCGGAGCTGGGCATGGACGACGACTCCGAGGGCGTCATGCTCCACCTCGAGGCGCTGGCGACGGTGCGGCAGGCGGGGCTCGAGGACTTCGCCCTCGTCGACGAGAAGATGGTCGTCACCGTCGACCGCTTCGGGGGCGAGACGCGCGTGCACTGCCGGAGCCCGACGAACGCGGACCTCGGCGGCGTCGTGCTCGTCGTCAAGGAGGCCGACTTCGCCGAGAAGCGCAAGCAGCTCCTCGCCCTCGCGTCGCCGCGCCGGAAGGAGGTCGAGGAGGTCTCCGACGAGGCCGCGCCGCCGCGGCCCGCGGCGCCGGCGGCCTTCAGCCTCGTGGGCGGCGACGAGTACTGGTGGGTCGGCTACCCGCCCATCATCAACGTCAAGCCCGAGGCCCCGGCGGGGGCCGCGCCCGCGCCAGAGCCGGAGGAGCCCCACTTCATGGGGTCCTTCTTCGAGAAGGACATCGCCGTCCAGGGCCTCCAGGGGGTGTAACGGGCTGCTATCGCCCCGCGAGGATGGCGGCGGCGTCGCGTAGCTTCGCGGCGAGCGCCGCGTTGCGCGCCTCGAGCGCGGCCGCGTCGGCCGCGAGCCGCGCATTCTCCGCGCGGAGCGCCGCGACGACGTCCGCGAGCGCGCCGTCCGCCGCCGGCGGCGGCGCCGGCGCGCCCGGGGCGTCGCGCCGCGCGAGGCAGGCCGCGCGCGCGGCGACGAGGTCGCGCGTCGACGCGAGCGCGAGCTCGAGCGGCAGGTCGGCGAGGAGATTCACCCAGCGCCGGTCCGTGAGATTTTTGTCGTAGACCGCGTCGGGTCCGCCCTCGCAGGCCGGCGGCGTCGAGAAGTAGACGAGGTCCGCGCCGAGCGCCAGGGTGCCGTAGAAGCCCGGGAGGTAGAAGCCCCGCGGGCTCACCTCGAGCACGACCGTGCAGGGCCGCGCGAAGATCAGGTTCGACTCCTGGGCGCCGTGGGGCGTCACGATGATGTCGTGGGACCAGACCCACGCCGCCTGCGCGCTGTTGTTCTTGACGTCGTCGAAAGCTATTTGGTCCGCGGACGCCAGGCCGTAGTCGGACAGCCGCGCCCGCAGGGCGGCGACGTAGGCCGGCGCCTCGAGCCATTTGCGCGACGTGCCCCGGTTCAGCACGCCGAGCCGCGGCGGCCCCGCGAAGGCGCCCGCGGGCGCGCCCGCGCGCCGCCGGAGCGCGTCCGCGGTGCCCGCCGCGAGCCAGAGCATCTCCATGTCGTGGTTCCCCGTCATGTAGAAGAGCTCGTCCGGCGGCACGAAGGACGGCTTGACGTGGCCGCCGCGGACCTGGCACGGCCGGGCCGCGCACGGCCCCCGGACGCCGTTGACGACCTCCGCGCGCATGAGCTGCAGGAAGTGGGCCGTGAAGCCGTGCGTCGCGCGCATCTCGCCGTCCATGGGGCAGACCGTGCGCGGAATTTTCGGGTCGTAGCGCTCGAAGAGCGACGCGCACGGCAGCAGCGCCTGCTGCTGGTGCTGCCACTCGTTCCTCACCTTCTGCTTCACGTTGAAGCGCCGCACCTCGCAGACGACGGCGGTCGGCGCGTCGCAGTCGCTCGGCGCCGTGACGTTGAAGTCGTCGTCCGTGAGCCGGTAGCTCGTGTAGTGCGGGTTGACGTCGCGGCGCCAGTCCCACTCGGTCACGCACTTATGGGGCTCCGTCGGCGGCGCCTTCGGCTCCAGGAGGCGCCGGAGCGCCGAGACGCGCGCGCGGCGCCGCGGCCGCGACTGCGCGGCCAGCAGCAGGCACGCCAAAGCCGCGCCGGCGGCGACGCCGACGCGTTTGCACGCCGACATACGCTGCGCGGGCAGCCTTTTGTAAAGTTCACTGAATCAACGGGTGAGTTGAATCACTTGAGGCCCGCCTGAGTTGAAGCGCCGCTTGACGTATCCCGCCGGCGGGACATGGTAGACCCCGGAACGAGGCGGCCACCATCGAACAAAACTAGTTAGTCACTTCTTCGCTGCTTTCTTCTTCTTCTTCTTGTCCGAGGGCGCGTCGGCGGCGGCGCCCTTGGGCGACTTGGCGTCCGAGTCGCGGTCGCGCTTCTTCTTCTTCTTGTCCGAGGACGCCGCGTCGTCCTTCTTCGGCGTCTTCTTCTTCTTCTTCTTCGGCGCGGCGTCGGCGGCCGCCGGCGGGGGCGCGGGCGCGGAGAAGCCCGCCCCTCTCCGCGCGGACGGCACGCCCTCGGGCTCGCGCGTCGCGTTGGGAAAGAGGCGCAGGCCCAGGCCCTTCTTCTGGATCTTGCCGTTGTAGCAGGCGCGCGTGTGCAGCGGCTTGTGGTAGCCCGTGCGCGCCGCGAAGTCCGGCCCGAGGTACTCCTCGCCCATGGGCTCCTCGGAGAACGTCGACTCGCGCGCGACGAGGCAGGGCGGCGTGAACTTGCGCAGGTCCATCTCCGTGATCGCGTGGTCGTGGTCCACGCCCGCGACGAGGAGCCGCGCGGGCCGCGCGGCCGCCGCGGCGAAGCCGCCGCCGCCGGTCGACACGAGCGGCCGCCACGCGTCGTCGAGGTTCGACTCCTCGCGGATGACGAGGTCGCCGCCGAAGGCCGACGTGACGGCGTCGCTCGACGCGGCCGCGGCGCCCTTGAGGCGGCCGACGACGTCGCCCTCGGCGCCGGGCTCGAGCTTCACCTTCATGCCCTTCAGCTCCTCCACGCTGATGTTCCGCGGCACGCGCATGAGCCAGATCTCCTTGTTCGGATCCTCGAGGGTCTGTGCCGTGATCGGCATGGTGGAGTCGGGGTGGCGGCGGCCGCGGCGGGGGCTAGCTCGGCTCGACTGTCGCTCCCAGCCTCTCCCGCTGGGTTCAACGTGATGATGCGAACTTCATCGTGAAAGGTGCCGCAAATTCCAAAGCAGTGATGGCGCTGCCTTCGCTGCCCTTTTAGAGTAGATGTGCTCTCCGTCTCCAGCGTGCTCGTGAGCCTGTGCTCTCCGTCTCCAGCGCGTTTTTGAGCAGGTGTTAGAGCAAGGGAACCATGTCTCCCAACGCGACCATCAAGCTCTCGCCGACGAAGTTCGTCGTCGCCCCGGCGAACATGGCCGTCGACGTCACGAAGAAAGCGACGAAGGCCACGCTCAACGCGACGACGACCGTCGCGAGCGGCGCGCTCAACGCGACGACGTTCGCCGGGAGCGGCGCGCTGAAGCAGGTCCGCCACGGCCTCGCGGCGGCGGACGAGGTCCGCCACTTCAGCTCGCGCGACGGCGCGGTGACCTACCAGGCGTCGTACCGGCGGACGGGCGGCGGCGGCGTCCAGCCGCCGCACATCCTCAAGTACGACACGCGGCGCGTGCTCTTCAGCCCCTGGAAGACCATCTTCACGAAGGACCGGCGCGCCGTCGCCGGCTACGAGATCAACGGCTGGTCGTCGCTGCTGCGGCTCCTGGCCATCGAGGCCTTCGGCGTCTACGCCGCGGCCCAGTCCCACGCCCGGGCGGGCTCGTTCCACGAGCTCGCCGTCGCGGGCAACAGCTTCTCCGTGTTCATGGCGTTCCTGCTGACGGGCTACCTCAAGAGCTCGCTGGGCAAGTACCAGCTCTGCCGGGACAAGGTCGGCGCGTTCTGGGCGATGACGGAGACGCTCACGGGCTACGCGGGCATCTGGTTCTCCAGCGGGTCGCGCGAGGACCGGGGCGCGATCGCGGCCGTGCGGCGGCTGTCGCTGTTGATGTACGCGATCTCCTGCAAGGAGCTCATCGGCGACACGTCGACGGACGATCTAGTCGCCGTGGGGCTCGCGACGCCCGAGGAGGCCGCGCTGCTCGGGCCCGACGCGCACGCGTTCCGCTTCAACTCGGTCTGGGCCTGGCACCAGCGCCTGTGGGAGGACGCCTTCGAGGGCCACCTGCCGGGCGCGTCGAGGGCGCCGGCGTGGGCGCGGAAGCTCGTGGCGGAGAAGCTCGACGCGGGCAAGAACGCGTGCGGCGGCCTCTTCGGGACCATGAACTTCCAGTACCCCTTCTCCTATTTGCATCTCTTGTCGATGCTCATCGACATCTCGCTGATGATCAGCGCGCTCCAGGGCGGGTTGGCCGCGGGCGTCGAGATGCGGCACGCGTTCTGCGACGACGCGGACGACGACGACGCGATCCGCTGCGACCAGATCCTGACGGCCGTGCGGCGGTCGTCGCGGTCCGCGGCGACCGTGGCCATCGTGCTGGCGTCGTCCGTCGTGCGTCTGGTGACGCAGGCCTTTGTGTACCGCGGCGCGCTCAGCGTCGCCGCGTGCCTCGAGCGGCCCGTGGGCTCGGACATCAGCGACTTCCCGACGCTCACGTGGTACAATCTCATCAAGGGCGACAGCGAGTCCATCGAGGCGTCCCTCGAGGGCCTCCGGCGCCTCGCGTCGTTCCAGCCCGCGTCGCCGCGCGCGGCCGCGAGCCCGACGAAGGGCGCGGCGCCGGAGACGAAGGAGGCCTAATGTTTAGCTCGCCGCGTCCTCGTCGATGGTCGACGCCCGCAGCAGCGCGCCCAGGCTCCCGACGGAGGCGACGTCGAGGTCGTCGGAGCCGACGCGGCCCCGGAAGTGCGCCGGGGGCGTCGCGACGGAGTGGTGGGGCGACACGGCGGGCCGCTGGCGCCGCTTGCGCGCCAGGGGCGGCGTGTCCGACGGCGGCGCCAGCGGCGTCACCGGCGACGTCGCCTCGACGACCTCGTCGTCCGCGAGGAGCACGTGCGTCTCCACCGTCGTGCCGTGGGGCGTCGGCGTGAGCTCGAGCACGGCGCCGCTCGGCAGCGGCAGGTAGGGGATGGCCTCGATGTCCGTGCCCGTGAAGTAGGAGTAGAGGCAGCGCTGCACCGCGAGATGCGACACGAGGAGCACGGACCGCTTCTGCCGCTCGAGCTCGATGAGGATGGGCCGGAGCCGCGCGATGACGTCGAGGTAGGACCTGGGCAGCAAAAGGGTGATTCAACGTCGCTTCAACGTGAGTGTTCCGCGCGCGCGCGTTCCGGAAAAAGCATCCACGCTTCGAGACCGTTCCAAGAGATGATCGCTCGTCCAAAAATCAGCCAAAACGAGTGGAAAACGGCCGAGATATGAGCCTTTGAAGTTGGGAATTTCGCTCTCTTTTGCTGCCCTGGGTAGGACTCGCCGCCCGCGCCCGGGTAGCGGAATCGCAGCTTGTCCGCCATGCGCTTCTGCCAGATCTGCGGGTAGCGCTCGACGAACTCCGCGGCGCTCAGCCCGTCGAAGTCGCCGCCGCAGAGCTCGTTGAGCAGCGAGCTCGTGAGCACCGCGGGCTCGGAAGCCAACCCGTCGCCCCGGCGCGCGCCCTGGAGCAGGGGCCGCACGGTCTCGCCGTGGATCGGCGCGTTGCCCGTCAGCACGACCAACGCCTCGTCGCCGAGCCCAAAGTCCGCGCGAAATTTGGCGTGCGCCTCGGACACAAAGGCCGCGAGCCGCTTCGCGAAGACCTGCCCCCGCGCCGTGAGGCCGCCGGAGATGGCGCCGACCTGCGCGCCCTCGACCTGCGCGCGGCTCTCGCCGTGCAGCGCGAGCCAGATGCGCCGCGGCGCGATGTGCACGTTGCCCAGGAAGAAGCTGAGGTGCGACGTCAGGTAGCCGCTGCAGCGCCGCGTGATCACCTTCTCGCCGACGTTGATGAGCTTCACGTAGGCGCTCTCCTCGCCGTCGTCGATGGTCTCGTAGCGCGACTCGTACTCCTCGACGCGCCGCACGAAGTCCGCGAGGGCCGACGCCGGGTCCGTGCCCTTGTAGTCCGCGTTCTGCAGCTTCATGCGGTAGTTGCGCTCGAGGACGACGGGGTCGTCGCAGATGGACTCGACGAAGACGAGCGACACGTCGCCGCCCGCTTCCGCGCAGCGCCGCGCGAGCGCCTCGCGCCGCGCCACCGTCGTGTTCGTCGCGTCGAAGATGGCGACGCAGGACGACGGCTGGCCGTCGAGCCACGCGTACATGTCCTCCTGGCAGAGCATCGCGAGGCGCTCGCGCTCGTTCCGCGCTTCTTGGGTATTGGCGAAGAACTCCGCCGTCGCGCCCGCGAGGCCCCGCCGCCGCCGCAGCTCGCCGACGTTGAAGATGCGCGTCGGGAAGCCGATCCACGACAGGTAGCGCACGAGCATCTTCACGAGGTAGGACTTGCCGCGCGCGGGCAGGCCGACCATCGCCACCACCAACTTGTTCTTCGAGCCGAAGGTGCCGTCCGCGTCGCCAAAGGCCGTCAGGCCCCGGTCCGCCGACGAGCCCTCGCCGCTCGACGACGGGCAGCAGAGCGACTGGTTCGACGCGACGCGCTTCACCGCGCGGACCTCGTCGCGCGTCGACCGCGTCGACGGCGTGACCTCGTAGAACGCGTGGCCGCCGAGGAGCGACTCGTCCTCGTCCTCGGGCGCGTCCTCCAGCAGCGACGCCGCGTCGAGCCGCGCCCGCGCGTCGAGCAGGCGGCTCGTCGCGCGCCAGGCGCAGCAGAACGCCGCGCCGGCGAAAGCCGACGCGGCGCAGGCCTCGAGGAGCGCGGCCGCGCGCGGCGCCATGCCGGCGCCGCGCGCGCGTCGAGCGGTGTGTGTCTTTTGTGGTTTGGCGGCGCGCGCGAGCGCTGCAGCGAGGCGGCGCGAGATTCGGGCGACGGCAACTCTGGTCGCACAGCCTTCTTGTGTCGATTCCTCACTGGGGAACGTTGCCAACCTCGACCACAACGTCGATTTCGCGGGTAGATGCACAATGCTTGCCGTCCCAAATCTACCGGTGAGAGGAGTGGGTTAGCAGCCCGGCTGCTCTTTTCGCACTGGCATCCCGGTAGGGCGTGACGCGGCCGGGAGCGACGGGCGCGGCGCGGTGCGCCGGCGCGTGTGCCGGTCCCAAAGCGTGTGGAGCGACCCACCGCGGCTCGAGACGCATAGGTGAGCGCGCGGCGCACCGTCGGCCGCCATGGCGTCGCGGCGCGTGCTCACCTCGGAGATCGCTAAAGACATTCAGAAGATCGGCGAGCCCATCGCGCGCGCGTACCGGCGCACGAGCAGCACGGGGTCCTTCTTCGTCAAGGGCCGGCCGAAGACGGCCGCGGACGTCCTGAACAAGACGCTCGTCGTGTCCGGCTTCGAGCTCAAGTGCCAGAGCCACTTCGGGCCCGAGCGGTTGCGCGTCGTCGAGCGCGAGAACGTCGTCGAGGAGAAGCACACGCGGCTCCAGCGGTTGTTGATCGTCCTCGACATCCTGTGCCCCATGATGCACCCGCTGGGGACGTTCCACGTGCGCTGGGACTCGGCGATGGTCGTCGTCATCCTGCTCTGCGTTGTCATGACGCCGTTCCAGATGGCCTTTCCCGCGCGGGGCTGCGTGAACCCCTGGTCCGACCCCATGGAGCTCTTCAACCTGACGCTGGACCTCGTGCTGCTCGGCGACTGCGTGATCACGTTCAACACGGCGATCTGGGTCCAGGGCGCGCTCGTGAAGAAGCGGCGCACGGTGGCGGAGCACTACGTGCGGGGCTGGTTCCTGCTGGACTTCGCGGCGTCCGTGCCCTTCAACCACATCCTGAACGCGCTCGCGGGCTGCAAGGACGGGTCGGGCGCGCTGCGGTCTTTGAGCTTCCTCATCAAGATCCTCAAGACGATGAAGATGGTGCGGCTGCTGCGGATTATTCGGCTCGTCAAGCTCATGCGCACCATGGACCAGTGGGGCGACTCCGCGCCGTCCGAGTCGACGTTCACGGACGCGATCCGCTTTTCGCGATTGGTGCTCTTCATCATGGTGCTGTCGCACCTCGCCGCGTGCGTGCTCGTCATCATCGCCGACCCGAACCGGCCGGACGTCCTCGACGGGTCCAAGCGGTCCTGGGTGACGAACTACTACACGCAGTCGTGCTTCGTGCCCATCGCGCGGCAGAACGAGGAAGCCGGCGGCGGCATCGGTGGCGCGGGCACGGAGTGCGCGAAGCCGACGACGCTCCGGCTCTACACCATCGCGCTCTACTGGGCCGTGACGACGCTGACGACCGTGGGCTACGGCGACGTGTCGCCGCACAGCAGCGAGGAGATGCTCTGGTCCATCATCGTCCAGTTCGTGGGCACGTGCAGCCTCGGCTACATCATGGGCGAGGTCACGGCCATCCTGACGCAGGAGGACAAGTCCGCGGAGATGATCCGGGAGAAGATCGACGCGATCAACGCCTACATGCGGTTCCGGAAGCTGCCCGTCGCGCTCCAGGCGCGGATCCGGAACCACTACAGCCACATGTGGAAGCGGACGACGGTCTGGGACGAGCCGCAGATCCTGGAGGAGCTGCCGCGCACGCTCCGGGCCGAGGTCCTCGAGTCGATCAACACCGCGCGCCTGCAGGGCATCACGTTCATCTACGACCTCGGCAACGTCGGCGACGAGGCGACGGCGCAGCTCTCGCTGCGCCTCACGCCCCAGCTCGCGCACCGCCACGAGCCCGTCGTCCGCGAGAACCACTTCGGCAACGACCTCTACATCATGTCGAGCGGCCGCGGCGACGCGCTCTTCCACGACGCGGCCGTGGGCGAGGCGCTGTCCTGCGACCCGAACGTCATCGTGCGCACCTACGAGACAGGCGACTACTTCTGCGAGTACGCGTTGTTCCTCGCGCACGAGGCGAAGCACCCCTTCACGGTCCGCGCGCGGAACACGTGCGAGCTCTTCACGCTGAACCGGAAGGCGTTGGTCTACCTCGCGGAGCACTTCCCCAACGTCGAGGCGCGCTTTTTGCAGCTCTGCGAGAAGCGCCACGCGGAGATGGTCCAGATCCTGTCGTCGCCCTACAATCTGACATTAGTGCAAAAACCGGAGGAGGGCAGCGCGGAGGCGGGCGACGCCGCGGACTCGCGGCACCTGCGGCGGCAGGGCGCGGCGGCGACGGTGCGCGCGCGCTTCTCCGCCCTGCTCCGCCACACGCGCGGGGAGGTCGCAACGGTCGCCGCGGACGACGGCAAGGAGGACGACTCCGCGAAGCCGAAGCTCCACTCCTCGAAATCGTTCCCGAAGCACGGGTCCTTCGACCGGCTCGAGGACGCGCCCAACGCGGAGCGCCGCGAGTCGCACCTCAACGCCCAGACGCTCATCCGCATGAAGCTCTGGTCGAAGAAGGCCGTCATCGCCGCGACGCGCCGCGACTGGGTCACGATGGACGGCTTCGACAGCGTCCACGGCGACGACGACGACGAGTCGAGCCCGCCCATCCCCGAGGACTCGCCCGACGCGGCGGGCCGCGTCCTCTCGCCGGGCGCGTCGAAGCGCGGCCTCGGCCGCGCGTCGTCGAAGCGGTCGCTCGCGTCGCCGCACCACCGGGGCAAGGGGCCCCAGCTGGGCGCTGCCATCGCCCGCATGGACTCGCTCTCCGCCGACATCTCGCGCAACGCCACCGACGTCGCCGAGCTCCGCGACGCGCAGCGCGCGACGCTCGAGGCCGTCGGCAAGCTCGCCGCCGCCGCCGCGCCGCGGCCGGCGCCGGCCGGCGACTCGCGGGGCGCCGGCGCGCCGGACCCGGCGCTCGTGGCGCGCATCACCGAGGCCGTCCTCGTCGCCCTCGAGCGGGACAAGACCGAGGTGAAGCCCTTCGCGTAACCTCGAGGAGTGGGGACGGCTCCGTCGGTGCAAGGTGCCGCTCATCGGTGTCGAGCAGTCGAGGAGGCCTCTCCGCGCGGTGCGCGTCGAGCGCCGCGGCCGACGACGCGCGCGCTCGCGCACCCGTCGCCGGCGCGCGAGCCATGGCCGAGGGACGACGAAGCCTGCAGGACTTCGAGGCCGAGCAGGACGAGGCGCTCGGCGAGCTCTCCGACGCCGTCGGGCGCCTCCACGCCATGGGCCTGAACATCAACGAGGAGCTCGAGTCGCAGAACGCGCTCCTCGACGACGTCGAGGTGCGCGCCGCGGCGCGCGCGCGCGCGCCGCTCCTCGACCGCCGCGCGCGCGCGCGCCGAGACCGACCGATGTTCTACCCGCGGCGCCCTCTAGGCGAGCATCGACGAGGTCGACGACGGCCTGCGGATGCTCACGCGGAAGACGGAGGAGCTCGTGAGGAAGGCGGGCGGGAAGCGGTGGTGCGCGCTGCTCACGGGGCTGTCCATCACGGCGGTCGTGCTCTTCTACCTCGTCGTCTTCTTCTAACGGGTCCGGGATTAGGCGGGGGGGAGAGGGAGGCGCGGCGCCGCATGGGTCCTAGCAGCCGCAGGGCGGGCAGGCCCGGCAGCCCGCGAGGGCCTCGACGTCGAGCTCGATGGCCGACGTCGGGTAGTCGATGTCGAAGTTCGCGAGGACCGCCGGGTGGACGATGCCCATCGTGCCGATGGGCGTCTTCGCGCCGTCGCTCGCGACGAGCACGATGTGCGCGCAGCGCCCCGGGAAGTAGGTCGGGTCGTCGACGGGGTCCACGGCGTAGTGGACCTCCGACGCCGCGGCCTTGGCCGCGTCGTAGCCCTTGAGGCTGTTGCCGGCGTAGGAATCCGTGGGCGGCACGCGCGCGCACGCGAGGATGCGGTCCGCGAGGCCGTGGATGACCTCGAAGCCCGCCGTCGCGCCCGTGTACGTCGCCACGAGCTTGCGCGCGTTCGTCGCGCCGACGTCCGCGGCCGCGTCGCGCGCGACGACGTCCGAGACCTCGAAGAGCTTGAGGCCGCCGCGGACCGCGTGGCTCTTCGAGTGCTGGAGCGTCTTGAGGGCGCCCACGAGGAGCGACGTGCGCACGATCTCGAACTCCTCGGACGACGGGTTCGACAGCGTCACGGCCTTCGCCTTCTCGTCCGCGCGGTCGCCGTGGCCCAGCTTGTCGAACTGCTCGTCCAAGCGGCACAGACCGTGCGTGAGGATCTCGACGTAGCCCGCGCGCGACACCTCGTCGCGCAGCAGGTCGCTGAACGCGTTCAGGCGCGTCGGCCCGCCCGTCGTCGTCGTCTTCGGGAGCTTCTCGGGCACGTTGTTGTAGCCGTACGCGATGCCGACGTCCTCGGCCACGTCGACCGCGTGCAGGATGTCGGACCGCGTGCAGGGCACGGCGACCGTGACCTCGTCCGTGGCCGCGTCGTAGGTCGCCGGCGCCAGCTGCATCTTCTCCGCGAGCGCGCAGGCCCCCCGGGCCGTGAGCTCCGCGTCCGTCAACCCGACGACGCCGCGGATGTCGTCGAGCTTCGCGGTCATCGACCGCGGCGCGAGGTCCGGCGTGGCGACCGTGCGCGTCACCGCGCCGTTCGACGTATAGACGACGTCGACGGGCTCGACCTTGAAGGCGCAGTACTCGGAGAACATGGCGACCATCGTGTTGCAGACGACGTTCGCCTTGTACTCGTCCGTCGCCGTGCACTCGATAAACACGTCCGTCGTGTGGGCCTGGATGCGGCTGTGGCGGCCGTTGATGATGGGCGGCAGGGAGAGGACGACGCCCGCGGCGTCGCGGATGACGGGGTAGTTCGGCGCGTCGTAGATGATGCCGCAGTAGGGCTTGAGGTGCTTGCACTCCGCGGCGGCCTTGTAGTGGTCCAAAAGCGCCTTCGCCTTCCAGGACTTGTCCGTCTCCGTCAGCGGCACGAAGTCGATGGTCTCCGGCGCGCGGGCCGCGTAGGTGAACTCGGGCGTCAGCGTCGCCAGGTCGTGCGTGCCGATGGCGACGATCGTCCGCCGGCGGCAGATGTTCTGGTGGAGCTTGTCCTGCAGGTCGATGAACGACTTGTAGACGCGCGGGTCCTCGAAGCTCACGCCCCGGAGCACGGCGCAGCACACGAAGGGGCGGATCGCGTTCGTGCTGTCCGAGTCGACGGTCATCGTGTAGCGCTTTTCGGGCTCGACGAGCTCGAACTGCGGCGTCGGCTCGAGGCCGAGGAAGATGCGCAGCGCGCGCGCCATGCCCTCCATGCACAGCAGATCGTAGCGGTTCGCCGGCACGTCGATGGCGTACTCGACGGCGCTCGACAGGCCCTTGGCCTTGATCGTCGCCGCGTCCATGCCCATCTTCGACGCCGCCTCGGCCTCCGACGTCACGTCGTCGAGCTCGACGCCGAACTCGAAGCAGAGGAGCTCGAACTCCTCCTGCGTGTACGTCTTGCCGAGCCGCTCGAAGAGGTCGTCGCGGTTCAGCCCGACGGTCGGCATCTTGGTCGACGACGACGCCCTTGACGACGACGAGGTTGGCGAAGCCGAGCTGCCGAGATGCCGCAGGTTCAACAATTTCGGCACCTTGAACGCGTATCACGCTGCCCGCCCTCATCCGCCTCTCCCGGCGTCGGCGCGAAGCATGCTTCGACGACGAATGCTGCCCCTCGTCGCCATTCTCCTCGCGGGAACTGGGGCGGCCCCGCTGCGCGCCGCGTCGCCGGCGCTGCGCGCCGCCGCCCGGCGCGACGTCGCCGCCTTCCTCGACGGCCAGCCGGCGGGCGCGAGCGTCGAGGCCCTCGTCGCGGCCTTCGCGGCCCGGCGCGCCGCGCGCGAGCCCGACCGCGCCGCCGGCGTCCACGCCCTGAAGCGCGCGCTCCTGAAGCGGCGCCTCTTCGACGTCCACGCCATGGCCGACGCCGCGGACGCGTCGGTGCTCGACGGGGCCTGCGCGTGCCCTCTGACCGCCGACGAGTGCGCGGAGACGACGGTCTACAACAACACGCTGCTCCACCGCCCGAGCGACGGGAGCCCCATGGAGCTCTACTACCGGGAGACCCAGCCCCTCGACGCCATGCTCGCGGGGGACGCGCACTGCCAGGAGCTCCAGGGCTTCGAGGTCTGCGACGATTCGCCGGACTGCGTGCCGTCGACGGCGTCGCTCATCTACGACTGCGACGCCGCCGCGGCGACCATGCTCGGCGTGGCCCAGGTGCGGAGCGCGGAGCTGGACAACGACGACGCCGAGGTCTACGCGGCGCTCGCCGACCGGACGGGCGGCGCGGTCACGGGCAGGGCAGGACAAGGGTGATTCAACGTCGCTTCAACGTGAGTGTTCCGCGCGCGCCTGTTCTGGAAAAAGCATCCACGCTTCGAGACCGTTCCGAGAGATGATCGCTCGTCCAAAAATCAGCCGAAACGAGTGGAAACCGGCCGAGAGAGGAGCCTTTGAAGTTGGGAATTTCGCACTCTTGTCCTGCCCAGGTCACGGGCGACGACGACATGTTCTACGGCCTGACCTCGCAGACCGTCTACGTCTACACGCTCCTCGAGCTCCAGGGCCAGGTCACGTGCTCCGACGGCTGCAACTTCTACGACGCCTGCAAAACGAGCTGCGGCGGCCTCGCGGCGGAGGGCGCGGACCAGAGTTTGGACCTCGACACGTCCTGCACGGGCGTGCTCGAGTACGTCACGCCGGCGCCGACGGCGCCGCCGTCGACGGCCGCGCCGTCGACGGCCGCGCCCTCGCCGCTCCCGGCGCCCGCGCCGACGCTCGCGCCGCTGCCCGCGCCGACGGCGCCGCCCGCGCCCGCGCCGACGGCGCCGCCCGCGCCCGCGCCGACGGCGACGGCCGCGCCCACGACGTCGACGCCCAGCGCGGCCCCGACGACGGCGACACCGACGACGGCGACGGCGGCGCCGACGACGGCGGCGCCGACGACGGCGACGGACGCGCCCACGGCGGGGTTCCCGACGCCGCGGCCGACGTGGGGCGAGCGGCGGCCGACGCCCGCGCCGCGGAAGCCGACGCCCGCGCCGACGGTCGCGCCGACGCCGCGGCCCACCTGGGGCACGCGGCGCCCCACGCGCCAGCCCACGCGGCAGCCCACGGACCCCCCCTTCGCGGCTCGCGGACCGACGACGGCGCGGGCGGCGTCGCGCCGGCGCCGACGCCGGCGCCGACGCCGGCGACCATCACGACGTCCTCGTCGAAGAAGGACGACGACGACACGGACGCCGCGTCCGGCGGGATCCTGGCGCTGATCATCATCGCCGTCCTCGTCGTGCTCCTCGCGCTCCTCTACTACCTCAAGAAGCGGCGGGACGAGGCCGCGGCGGAGGCCGAGGCCCCGCCGCCGGAGCTCGAGGCGCCGCCGCCGCCCGTCGCCGTCGACGACGTCGAGGCCGACGCGGGCGCGCTCGTCGTCGCCTCGGAGCCGCCGGCGGACGCGCTCGTCCCCGCGACCGACGCGCCCGCGGCGAGCACGGCCATCAAGACGAAGATCAACGAGGCCGAGCTCTAGGGTCTTTTGGTGTTTACTGTTCTGCCTGCGTTGCGGGGTGTCCGGGAGGGTTGTCGGCCGAGGCGTGCGGCGGCTCGTCGGCGCGTCGAGCCGCCAAGGTTCGCAGCACTTCTGCCACTGGGTCTCGAGCTTGCTATGCGCGTGCCGCGCGCACCGATGGCGGTCCTCGATGGCGCGCCGCTCTATGCCACTCCGGACGATTCCTGGAATGCGCTCTTGCTCGTGCTGAACTGCGGAGGCGGCGACGCCGCCCGTCGCCTGGCTGGAGATCGCGACAGCCTTACTACAATTCGCACCTACATAAAGTTCGCGCCCGATTGGGCAGCGCTCGAGCTGGCGCTCGAGACGGGACCATATGACGAGCGCCCGGTCCACGACTGGGGCGATATCCCCCCGTTTTCGGTAGAGACCGTCGTGGCCGAGTACGCTCGTTTCCTCGGCCTCTTCAAAGGCGTGCCGCATGGATTTCTCTCGCCGCCGCCCAGCTGGCCGAAGCTTTGGGACGACGACCTTTTTGAGCCGCCATTCTCCGAGCTTGTCAAACTGGTCTGGAAATTCCACTCGAAGCGAGACTCGTACGCGGACGACTGTCTCGTACTCGCTGGCCGAGAGATCCCTTACTATGAGTACGAGGACAGCCCTACCTGGAGGGAAATCGGCAAGGACGCGGGACTTCTTGGGTACCGGCGACTGTACAAACGCTATGCAAAAGTCTACGGGACTCCGCCGCCGTCGAATGTTTGGCCCGACGTCACCGCGCTCGTGGTTTTGGCCAACAAATGCCAAAGCCACATTGATGAATGGGGAGGACGCGTAGACAGCAGGCTGTACGTTCCAGCAGGAGACGACGAGGTCGAAGTGAACTGCGATATCGTTTGGGGCCCCCAATGGGGGCCACACTCAGCCTGGGGGCTCTGGTTCTACTACCCGGGGCCGGTACACGGGTAATATATCTCGCACCAAACGCCCCCCCCCAGGGAGCGCCCTAGCGGTACCGCCGCCGCGCGAGCGCGAAGCCCGCGGCCGCGCCGCAGAGCGCCGCGGCGAGCTGGAGCCGGAGGACGTTGTCGCTGAGGACGCGGCGCGCCTGCGCGAAGACGCAGTACTCGACGGCGTAGGACTGGACCGCCGTGCGGCCGGCGAGGAAGGGCTTGAGCATCGCCACGGCCGCCAAGTGCTCCGGCGCCGCCGCGTACTTGAGGTAGTCGTCCGGCGAGTCGAACTCCGCTACGATCGTAAAGTCCGCGTTCTGCGGGCACTCCGGCAGCTTGATGTCGCCGCCGAGGCGGTAGCTCCGCACGTACGGCAGCTGCTCCGGCAGCGCCGCGAGGGCCTCGCAGCCGGCGCGGACGTCGGAGTTCGTGACGCCGACCTTCCACTTGAGGATGACCGTGTGCGTGAGCGTCATGGCCGCGGCGCGGTCGCGGCAGTCGCGGCGGCGGGCCGTCGCGCCGCCGGCGCGGACGTCGTCGACGCCGAGTGCCGCCGGCGCGCGGAGAGCGAGCGCGCGCGCCGGACGTGGCGACGGGCGGAGACGAGGCCGAGGAGTCGGAGAGCGGCGGTGCATCGTGAACCTCAACGTCGACACCAGCTTCGCGCGCGCAACCTTTGACCCGAGCGATTCAAGCGCGGCCGGGCGACCGGCGACCTTTGACCCGGCGGATATGCGGATACAATTAGCAGCCTCTCGCATAATATAACTGCGCGGAGCGGAAGAAGGGCTAATGGGCAGCCACCAGTCGACGTAACCGGCTGTTCGAGGTGGTCCTCGTCGGCTCGGTGGCGAGCGTCCGCGGCGCCATGGAGCCGCTCCTCCTCGACGGCGGGTGCGCCGCGTCGCCCGAGCGGCGGCCGCGGCGCCGGCCCTTTGGGGACCGGCTCCTGGAGCGCGACAGCCTCCTCCGGGACAAATACGTGACGCGGGCCGTGTTCAAGGCCGTCGCGCTCGTGGGCATGGTCGCCGTCTTCGGGACCGTCGACGCGTGGCGACGACCAGGGTCCCGGCCCGCGGCCGCGGCCGGGGCCCTCGGTTACCCCGCCGCGGGCCCGCTCGCGGAGCCCGGGGCCTTCGGGCTCCCCGCGCGCTTCGTGCGGAGGCGGCTCGCCAACGCCACCGTCGACGACGACGACGACGAGTGCCCGACGAAGCCGGGCTGGGGCCCGACGCTCGGGTGGATCTTCCTGACGCTCTACCTCTTCCTGGGCACGGCCATCGTCTGCGACGAGCTCTTCGTGCCCGCGCTGGAGGAGATCGCGTCGCGCTGGGAGATGTCCGACGACGTCGCGGGCGCGACGCTCATGGCCGCCGGCGGGTCCGCGCCGGAGCTCGCGACGTCGTTCATCGGCACGTTCACGGGGTCGTCCATCGGCTTCGGCACCATCGTGGGCTCGGCGGTCTTCAACGTGCTCTTCGTCATCGGCATGTGCGCGCTCTTCACGCCCCCGGAGCTCGCGCCGCTGCGATTGACGTGGTGGCCGCTCGCGCGCGACTGCTCCTACTACGCCATCACGCTGGCGACTTTGGCCTGCTGGTTCGCGGGCACGAGCCCCAACGCCATCGAGTGGTGGGAGGCTTTGGTCCAGTTCACGCTCTACGTGGGCTACGTGCTCCTCATGTCGCAGAACGAGGCGCTCGAGGCGTGGGTCACGCGCAAGCTCGGCGGCGCGGCCATCGACGTCGCCCAGGTCGCGCCGGCGACGCCCGCGGTCGCGCCGTCCGAGGTCAAGGCGCCCCCCGGGGTCGCCGAGGTCACGCCCGTCGTGCCCGCGCCCGCGGACGCGAAGGAGGCCAAGTCGCCGCCCGACGGCAACGGCGACGCCAAGGCGAACGGCGACGCCGCGCCCGCGCCCGCCGCCGCCGCGCCGAACGCGCCCGGCGAGAGCCCCCGCGGCGCGAGCCGCCAGTCCATGAGCCTGCCCGCGGGCGTGACCATCGACGCGAACGGCAACTACGCGGCCCGGCCCCGGAAGTCGACGTACCTCCACCGGCCCACGGGCTTCCGCGCGGGCATCATGACCATGCTCATGGGCCAGGGCGGCGACATCGGCACGACGACGGGCACGTCCGTCGTCGCGGAGATCTCCGGCGACGTCAACGAGACGTTCGCGAAATTGGACACGGACGCGAACGGCAAGCTCGACGTCAACGAGCTCAAGCGGCTCCTGACCATGCTCGGCGGCCACGAGGGCGACTACGACGAGGGCAAGCTCGCCAAGCTCCGCACGGAGCTCGACACGGACGGCGACGGCTTCGTGAGCCGCGCGGAGTTCAAGAAGTGGTACCTGACAGGGCAGGAAAAGGGTGATTCAACGTCGCTTCAACGTGAGTGTTCCGCGCGCGCGCGTTTCGGAAACAGCACCCACGCTTCGAGAGCGCTCCGAGAGATGATCGCTCGTCCAAAAATCAGCCGAAACGAGCGGAAAACGACCGAGATAGGAGCCTTTGAAGTTGGGAATTTCGCACCCTTTTCCTGCCCAGGTACCTGACGTCCGAGACGCGGCTCCAGCACCAGTGCAAGCGCATCTTCGACGAGATCGACAAGGACAAGGACGGCATCATCAACGCCGCCGACATTTCCGTGTTGGTGGCCCACCTCGCGTCCGCGGGCCGCGGCGCGGACCCCGAGTCGGCGGCGGCGGAGTTCTCCGAGGAGATCTCCTCGGGCGGCTGCGACTACCCGTCCTTCCAGCAGTGGTACGAGAAGACCATCTTCTGGAAGAAGGAGAAGGAGGAGGCCGAGATCATCGGCGAGGCCGCCGAGTCCATGTTCGACCAGGTCAAGGACCAGCTGTCGAATTTACACAAGAAGTCGCCGGGCGAGGTCGCGATGATCCTGCTCCTCCTGCCGCTCAACGGGTCCCTGGCGCTCACGGTGCCCGACTGCCGCGCGCTGGACAAGGAGCACTACTGCTACTACGGCTTCGTGACGTCCATCGTCTGGATCTTCGTCTACTCGACGGGCATGGTCTCCGGCATCACGGCGATCGGCCTCCAGATCAACGTGCCCGTCTTCATCATGGGCCTGACCTTCCTCGCCGCGGGCACGTCCGTGCCCGACCTCCTGTCCTCCGTCGTCGTCGCCAAGCAGGGCAAGGGCGACATGGCCGTGTCCTCGTCCATCGGGTCGAACATCTTCGACGTCTGCGTCGGGCTGCCCGTGCCCTGGCTCTGCTACACGATCTTCAACTGGAAGAACGTCACGACCTGCTCCCAGGGCGTCGGCATCTCCATCTGCATCCTCCTCACCATGGTCCTCGCCGTCATCGGCTCCATCATGGGCTCCGGCTGGAAGATGTCCCACAACCTCGGCGGCATCATGTTCCTCCTCTACTTCCTCTTCGTCGTCCAGGAGGTCGTCCGCGAGTGGCCCTTCACCTGCGCGTCCTGCTAGGCAGGCCCCCGCGCGCCCGCCACCGTTCTATACGCGCCTCCGCGCCTCGTCGGCGGTCGGGGCCGCGGGGGACTCGGGCCGGCGGCGCGACGGCTGGTGCGAGAGCGGGTCGCCGACCCTAGGCTAGGCCGACTAGGGCACAGCGACGCTAGGATCGAGGCTTTTGTCCGCATCGCTTGTCGCACTTGAAGCGCTCGAAGTGCGCGCCGACAACCACTGCCGCCGTCCGCCAACGTTTGAGCAATGTCGACCATGCGTCTCCTCCCGTGCCTCCTGGCCGCCGCCACGGCGCTGCAGCTGCCGTCGATCCGCACGGCCGTGCGCCCGCGCGTTTCCGCCCTGCGGATGGCCGAGGAGGGCGCGCCGGAGCCCGTGCCGACGCCCGCGGAGGCGCCCGCGGGCTGGCAGAAGGTCGAGGAGACGAACATCTGGGGCGACGACAAGGTCGCCGACATCCGCATCGAGGGCGGCCAGACCCTCAAGACCTTCAAGATGCCGCCGCATGCGGAGCGCGTGCAGTACATCCTCACGTCGCCGAACGGCCGTCCCGTCAAGGCGCGCGTGGAGCTCTGGATCGGCCCCATCCGCTGCGTCCACGAGCTCATCTACGACTGCATGAACGGCTTCGACTTCCCCCTCAAGGCCACGCTCCAGTTCAAGAAGCTGTCGCCCGTGCTCAAGATCATGGGCGACGCGGACTTCGAGTTCCCGCTCGTCGCGGGCGTCTTCGTGCCCTCCCCGGAGGAGAGCGACAAGATCGGCAACGCGAACAAGGACATGTTCTACAGCGCCCCGCTCAAGGACAAGGTCCAGGGCGGCTCGACCATCGACGACAAGGGCGGCGCGATCCGCAGTTTCGACATCCCGCCGTCGTGGGAGAAGACGCAGATCATGGTCTGGTCCACGGACACGGGCAAGAAGTCCTTCAAGACCAACATCGAGGTGCTCTCCGGCCCCAACAACCAGAAGCAGCACCTCAACCTCCGCTGCGGCGGCTCGACGCAGCCGTACCACGCCGTCATCGACACGCCGGGCAGCAGCCAATGGGTCATCCGCTGCAACTCGAAAAAGTACCTCGAGGACGGCCTCTTCGAGATCGCCGTCGCGCCCTACGGCCCGACCGTCGACGAGGGCCCGCCGGCCGTCGTCCTCAACTCCGGCTTCTAGGGCGCGAGCGAGCGGCGGCGAGCGAGCGAGACCTCACGTATCCGTCATCGCCGCGCGACACCCGGCAAGTAAAAGACCATGCCTCGATATTGTTAGGTCGCCGCGAGGCACGCGGCGACGAACGCGCCGGACTCGTCGAGCGCCTCCTCGCCCTCGCGGACGAAGCGCGGGAAGAGCATGAAGTCGTGGAACATCTCGTCGACGACGTCGAGGGACGCGTGGGGCGCCGCCGCCGCGAGCGCCTCGGCGTCGCCGCGGAGCAGCTCCGCCGCGCCGGCGACGATCTTCAGCGGCGTGGACGACGGCGGGCCGGCGAGCGCCCTCGCGTGCGCCTCGTCGTGCGCCCGATCGTCCTCCGGATGCGCCGCGGCGCCGACGACGTCGACGGCGCGCGCGTCCAAAAAGTCGCCGTCGCCGTCGTCCAGGGAGCGGCGCGGCCCGTCGAGCCGCGGGTGGTGGCGCAGGAACGGGCTCCAGCACAAAACCCCCGCCGGCGGCATCGCGGACCGCTCGAGCGCGCGGAGCGCGAGGTAGCAGCCCGCGCTGTCCGCGGCGACGGCGACGGGCCCCCGCGCCGCGAGCCACTCGTAGGTCGCGGCGACGTCGGCGACGGCCGCCGGCAGCTCGCGCTCGGGCGCGAGCGCGTAGCGCGGCACGACGGCCCTCACGCCCGGCGCGCGCGCGAGCAGCGACGCGACGGCGCCGCGGTAGGCACCGGGCGAGCCGACGACGAAACCGCCGCCGTGCACGAACATGAGCGTCGCGTCCGCGGCGCCGGCCCGGGGCGCGACGACCTCCGTGCCGTCGACGGGCGCGCCGGCGAGCGGCGCCGCGTCGTAGGCCCGCAGCGCCTCGTTGTGCGCGTTGCCCTGGGCCATGAGCTCCTCGAAGAGCGCGCGGTTCCGCGCGACCTCGCCGCGGAACGCGCCGCTCGGGTCCGCCTTCGCCGCGACGGCGTCGTGTGGCGTCGCGTCGTAGTGCCACCAGGGCGTCCGCCGGATGGCCGCGAGCAGACGCTGCACGCCGCCGCGCTGCGTCGACAATGCGCGCGCAGCCTTGGAAGCGGCGCGCGTGCTCGCAGCGCTTGTAGGCAATGCTGCCTGTGATGCGGCGCGCCTGCCAGCGGCGCGCGTGCTCGCAGCGCGTGCGAACGCAACGCGCATGCCGCCGGCGCCTGCGTACGCGACGCGCAAGCCAGCGGAAGAGGAGCTCATAGCTTGGCCGCCTGCGTACACGACGCGCAACCCAGCAGCAGCCGACCTCATAAGCCGCATGCGCAAATAATACTTCACCGTGAGAGCGATGCACTTGTTGCACTTCCCAAAAAGCATTACGCGGGCCCCGGCGCGCGCCAGGAGATACCGTTGAGGTCGTTGATGACGTGGCAGACGTCGCTGCACTTGGCGACGTTGAAGTCGGGCCGCCGGTCGCGGCGCGCCGGGAGCGGCGCGTCGTCGTCGTCGAGCACGCACGTGTGGAGCCGCCGCCGCTTGCCCTGGAGCACGGACTCCAGGTCGTCGCAGAACGACAGGACCTGGTGCGGCGCGAGGTCCAGCGCCGCCAGCGCGTCGCCGAGCGCGTCGTCGGCCGCGCGCGCGACGACGTCGAAGGTCACGCCGGCCTGCTTCAGGAGCTCGTCGACCTCGCCGTCGGGCGTGTCGGGCCGCGCGACGAGCGCGATGGACATGGACCGCGCGGCCGCGAAGGTCAGCAGGCTCTTCATGCCCGGCGGGCCCATGCGCCACTTCGAGTCGTTGCGCCGCGCGTCGTCGAGCGCCGCGAGTTCGCGCGCGCCGCTCAGGATCGCCGCGTCGCCGCCGGCGGACGCGGCCGCGGCGCCGACGGGCGCGGTCGCGCCGTTGCGCTTCGCCGCGAGCTTCGCGGCGTACTTGGCCGCGACGCCGCCGCCGAACTCGGGCGGCTTCGTCTCCCGCTTCTCCTCCTCCGGCGCCGCGGCGCCGCCGATCGCCGATTCGAGCTCCGCGAGCTCGTCGGCCTCGCTCCGCGCCTGGTCGAGCCGCTCGCGCACGGCCCAGGGCTTGCCGATGCTGTCGAGGCCCCGGTCCTTGAGCTCCTGGCGCACGGCCTTGGTGAGCATGTCCTTGGTCGCGATCGACGCGGGGTCGCCGCGGAGGCTCGCGAAGGCGAGCGGCGACGCGACGCGCTCCGCGCCGCCCGTGCGCCGGAACAGCTGCGCGTCGACGCAGACCGCGCGCACCTTGAGCGTCTGGCCGACGGCGGACAGCGACCGCATGAGCTTCTCGTCGGCCTTGACGCTCGACGACGTGTTCACGTAGGCCGCCGTCGAGTTGACGAAGCTGCCCGCGCGGCGAACGGTTCCGGGCGCGAGGCGCGACGCGCGGCGCCAGCGGGCCAGCATCGTGATTGATGCGGCTGCGGCAGGACGGCGTCGCCTGCGGTGCGCTCTCCCGCGCAGCCGCTGCAGCTTCGGCCGCTCTCCGGCAGCGACCACCACACGCCGCGTCGCGAAACATTGCCATTGGCAGCACACGCCGCGGGTGACGAGCCCCCCGACCTGGCGAAGAGCGCGCGGGGACGGCGCTCATGTCGGCGGAGATGACCCAGCGCGGCACGGGCGGCGGCACGCAGCACGGGCGCATGCCCTACCGGGACCTGCGGCAGGAGGAGTCGATCAACCCCGGCGTGCGGCGGCGCCAGCGGCTCGCGTCGTGGAAGACGGTGCCCGAGTCGTTGAACTTCACGGTCGAGGAGAACGAGGTCTGGCGCACGAAGCAGGCCCAGCTCCAGTACACGAACCGGAACCGGTGGTGGACGTCGTCGACGAGCACCACTTTTAAGCGGTGGGTGCTGACCATGGTCGTCGGCGTGCTCACGGGCGTCGTGGGCATCTTCATCACCTACTTCACGCAGTACTTCACGCGAATCAAGTTCGCCGCGGTGCGCGACGTCATGGACAGGGAGGCGGCGGGCGACCTGGCGCGCGGCGCCGCGTTCTTCGCGTACCTGGGCTTCAACGTCTTCTTCGTCTGCGTCGCGACGCTCATGGTCTGGATCGAGCCCGTGAGCGCCGGCAGTGGCATCCCCGAGGTCAAGTGCTACCTCAACGGCATCAACATCCCCCGCATCGTCCGGTTCCGGACCTTGGCGTGCAAGGCGCTGGGCGTGCTGTTCTCCGTCGCGGGCGCTCTACCGGTGGGCAAGGAGGGCCCCATGATCCACTCCGGGTCCGTCATCGCCGCGGCGCTGGCCCAGGGCACGCGGTCGACGTCGGCCTTCGGCACGGACTGGCGCGTGCTGGAGTTCCGGACGGACCCGGAGAAGCGGGACTTCGTCGCGTGCGGCGCGGCCGCGGGCGTCGCGACGGCCTTCGGGGCGCCCATCGGCGGCGTGTTGTTCGCCCTGGAGGAGGGCGCGTCCTTCTGGTCCACGGCGCTGACCTGGCGCTGCTTCTTCTGCGGCATGATCACGATCTACACGCTCTACGTCGTGCGGAACACGGAGAACCTCTGGGGGTCCGCGGACTCGACGAAGATGTTCTCCTTCGGCGAGTTTACGAGTTTCCGGGACGGCATGGCGAACTTTAGCGTCTGGGAGCTGCTCCTGTTCATCGTCCTGGGCGCGCTCGGCGGGCTGACGGGCGCGCTCTTCAACGGCATGAACCAGGGCAGCAAAAGGGTGATTCAATGTCGCTTCAACGTGAGTGTTCCGCGCGCGCGCGTTCCGGAAAAAGCATCCACGCGTCGAGAGCGCTCCGAGGGATGATCGCTCGTCCAAAAATCAGCCGAAACGAGTGGAAAACGACCGAGATAGGAGCCTTTGAAGTTGGGAATTTCGCACCCTTTTGCTGCCCAGGCATGAACCGGCGGCTGACGCAGTGGCGCATGCGCCGCGTGACGTCCAAGGCGCACCGCGCGCTCGAGGCCGTGGGCGTCTGCGTGGTCTGCTCCTGCGTCATGTACGCCATCCCGGCCATGTGGGGCGCCTGCACGCCGAAGCCGCTCGTGCAAGTCACGTGGACGCAGTTCGAGAAGGACATGGTCGAGGAGCTGGTGCCCTTCGGGTGCCCGGACGACGAGTACAACGAGGTCGCGTCCCTCTTCTTCACGGATAGCGACACGGCGATCAAGCAGCTCTTCCACTTCCGGGAATCCGGCGTCTTCAACCAGGACGTCGAGACGTTCAGCTCGCTGGCCGTGGCGACGTTCTACGTGCCCTACTTCCTGCTCGCGTGCCTCACCTACGGCATCGCCGTGCCCAGCGGCCTGTTCGTGCCGTCGCTGCTGAGCGGCGCGGCGCTGGGGCGGCTCGTGGGGCACCTGCTGCACCGGCTGGACGCGCAGAGCGGCACGTTCGCGGACGCGGGCACGTACGCTTTGGTCGGCGCGGCCGCGGGGCTCGGCGGCATGGCGCGCATGACCATCTCGCTGACCGTGATCCTGCTGGAGGCGACGGGCAACGTGGCGAACCTGCTGCCGCTCATGCTCGCGCTGATGGCCGCGCGGTGGGTCGGCAACGTCTTCAACCACGGCTTGTACGACGTCCACATCCGGCTCAAGCGCCTCCCGTATTTGGAGGAGGACGCGCCGCGCGTGGCGCTGGAGCGGTCGGCGTCCGCGGCCCAGTGCATGAGCCGAGATGTATTGACGTTCCCGCCCCTGGCCACCGTCGGCGACGTCTACGACACGCTCGCCAACTGCAAGCACGCGTGTTTTCCCGTCGTCGCGCGCGACGACGGCCGCCTCGCGGGGACGATCATGCGCCACACGCTCTGCATGCTCATGAAGCACCGCGCCTTCGCGGCGCCGGGCGAGGACCCGAAGGACCGCGACGACCTGCGGACGCGCGCGCTGAGCCCGCTGCTGTCGTCCGCGCTCTTCGAGCGCGCGTACCCGAAATTCCCCGAGGTCGACGAGCTCGAGCTGAGCGACGCGGACCGGGGCTGCTGGCTGGACCTGAGGCCCTACGCGGACACGGCGCCCTTCTCCGTCCAGGACTGCTGCTCCGTGCAGCGCGCGTACCGCCTCTTCCGCACGCTCGGGCTCCGGCACCTCTGCGTCGTCGACGCGCGCAACCGGCTCCGGGGCATCATCACGCGCAAGGACCTCGACGAGCCCACGCTCGACGAGAAGCTGTCCTGGGTCAACGACGACGCCGACGCCCTCGAGAGCTTCTCCGTCGAGGCGCACCCGTCGACGATGGCGCGCTTCGCGATCTGACGCCGGCGCGACCGCGGCGGCCTCGCGGACTTCCGCCGGCGCTACGGCTGGATGACCGCCGCGCCACGGCGCGGCGCGACGCTTGCGACGGTGGTGGTCTAATTCGAGGGTCCTGGTAGTTGGCGGTGGGGAGATCGCTCTCGAGATCGCTCTTGAGATCGCGGGAGCGCTCGCGCGGACGCGCGCGCGCCCACCCCGGCGACCCTTGCATGCGACGTCAGAAACACAATTTCGCCGCGCATTGTCTCGAAAACGGCCGACGCGGCTCTCCCGACTGCGGCCCCACCGTCGCCCCCGGCTGTTTAAGCAGAGGCACCGGGGTCGCCTTTGACCCGCGAAGTGGCTCCGGCGCGCCTGTGGCCTGACGAACCACCGCTCAAAAACTCTTCAGACTTTTCCTTTCGGCGTCGGCGGCGCGCGATGGGTAACTCCGCCCCGACGCCAGCCCCCCGACCCCGGCCCGTGCCGAACCCGACTCCGTATCCGACTCCGTATCCGACTCCGTATCCGACGCCCTTCCCGACGCCCCTCCCGACGCCCCTCCCGACGCCCTTCCCGACGCCCCTCCCGACGCCCCTCCCGACGCCCCTCCCGACGCCCTTCCCGACGCCGAGCCCGTCGTTCCTGCCGACGGTCTCGCCGGCGCCGACGTCGAACTACTTCGAGGGCACGCTCGTCGCGCACTACGAGTTGAACGACGACGCGCTCGACGACTCGGGTAACGCGTACCACGGGACGATCGCCGGCGCGACGGCGACGACGGCGCTCGACGGCGGCGCCGCGCTCCTCTTCGACGGCGACGACGCCGTCGCGTTCCCCTCCGCGCTGACCGCGGACCTCCTCGGATCCAGCGCGCGCACCGTGTGCCTCTGGGCCCGGGTCGACGCGTTCGACGGCGGCACGCTGTTCTCGTACGGCTCGATCGTCACGAACCAGTACTTCGCCCTCGAAGTGGGCGTCGTCCCGGAGCGGTTCTACCTGGACAGCTTCGGCTGGGCCTACGAGGTCGCGCTCGCCGGATCCGACGTCGGCTGGCACCACTACTGCAACGCCTACGACGGCGCGACCTGGCGCCTCTACTACGACGGGACGCTCGCCGCCGAGTGGGACGTGATCCTGGCGACGGGCGCCGCCAACGCGCTGACCATCGGCGTGCGCAACGGGGCCGACGGCTACCTCTCCGGCGCCGTCGACGAGCTCTACGTCTACTCGAGCGCGCTCGACGCGGCCTCGATCCGGGTGCTCTCCGACGCCGTCACGCCCCCGCCGACGCCCGCGCCGACATTCGCGCCCACGGCTTCCTTCATCGAGATCACGAGCATGGGCACGGAGTCGACGTGCGTCGCCAACGTCGAGTGCGAGCTGCTCTGGGTCTACCGCGGCGACCCGGACGCCTGCGAGAACGTGATCGTCCAAGTCATCGAAGTCGTCGGCAGGGACGAGACGGTGCTCGCGGAGGACACGACCGCCAACGACGGCAGAGACCTAAAAGTGGTCCCCGGCGACGCCGAGGCCAACGAGTTCACGATCCGGCTCACGTGCGACTCGGACGACTCGCTCACGGACGAGCTCGAGCTTTCCGTGACGTACACGCCCGCGCCGACGGTGTCGCCGACGTCCGCGCCCTCGACGTCGCCGACGCCCGCGCCGACGCCCGCGCCGACATTCGCGCCCACGGCCTCCTTCATCGAGATCACGAGCATGGGCACGGAGTCGACGTGCGTCGCCAACGTCGAGTGCGAGCTGCTCTGGGTCTACCGCGGCGACCCGGACGCCTGCGAGAACGTGATCATCCAAGTCATCGAAGTCCTCGGCGAGGACGAGACGGTGCTCGCGGAGGACACGACCGCCAACGACGGCCAGGACGTGAAGGTGGTCCCCGGCGACGCCGAGGCCAACGAGTTCACGATCCGGCTCACGTGCGACTCGGACGACTCGCTCACGGACGAGCTCGAGCTTTCCGTGTCGTACACGCCCGCGCCGACGGTGTCGCCGACGTCCGCGCCCTCGACGTCGCCGACGCCCGCGCCGACGTCCGCGCCCTCGACGTCGCCGACGCCCGCGCCGACGCCCGCGCCGACATTCGCGCCCACGGCTTCCTTCATCGAGATCACGAGCATGGGCACGGAGTCGACGTGCGTCGCCAACCACGAGTGCGAGCTGCTCTGGGTCTACCGCGGCGACCCGGGCGCCTGCGAGAACGTGATCATCCAGGTCATCGAAGTCGTCGACGAGGAAGAGACGGTGCTCGCGGAGGACACGGCCGCCAACGACGGCCAGGACGTGAAGGTGGTCCCCGGCGACGCCGAGGCCAATCGATTCACGATCCGGCTCACGTGCGACTCGGACGACTCGCTCACGGACGAGCTCGAGTTTTCCGTGTCGTACACGCCGGCGCCGACGGCGTCGCCGACGGCCGCGCCCTCGACGTCGCCGACGCCCGCGCCGACGCCCGCGCCGACGGCCGCGCCCACGGCTTCCTTCATCGAGATCACGAGTATGGGCACCGTGTCGACCTGCGTCGCCAACCACGAGTGCGAGCTGCTCTGGGTCTACCGCGGCGACCCGGGCGCCTGCGAGAACGTGATCGTCCAAGTCATCGAGGTCACTGAGGAGGGGGGAGAAAGGGTGCTCGCGGAGGACACGGCCGCCAACGACGGCCAGGACCTGCGAGAGATCCCCGGCGACGCCGAGGCCAACGAGTTCACGATCCGGCTCACGTGCGACTCGGACGACTCGCTCACGGACGAGCTCGAGTTTTCCGTGTCGTTTACGCCCGCGCCGACGGTGACGCCGACGCCCGAGCCGACGGTGTCGCCGACGCCCGGGCCCACGACCTCGCCGACCCCGGCGCCCACGACCTCGCCGACGCCGCTCCCCTCGACCTCGCCGACGCCGCTCCCCTCGGCGTCCCCGACGCCGAGGCCGTCCGCGTCGCCGACGCCGAGGCCGTCCGCGTCGCCGACGCCGCTCCCCTCGGCGTTGCCGACGCCGAGGCCGTCCGCCTCGCCGACGCCCGCGCCGACGGCGAGTCCTACCGCGTCGACACCGATCCCGACGGAGCCGCCGAGCCCGAGGCCGACGCCGGGCCCGACGGCGCGGCCGACGGCGGTCCCGAGCGACTTGCCGACGGCGAAACCGACGGCGAAACCGACGGCGCCGCCGTCGCCGGGCGCCACGCAGACGGTCGGCGACGTCGAACTCGTCGCCGAGGACTCCGCGGCGCCGTCGCCGCGGCCGACGTTCGGCCCGACGCCGCGGCCGACGGCCGCGCCGGTCGCGCCGTCGCCGCGGCCGTCCCCGCGGCCGTCGTCCGCGCCGACGCCGAAGCCGACCCCCGCGCCAACGCGGCTCGGGGAGACCGTGGCTCCGACGCCCGCGCCCACGACCCCGGCGCCGACGCCTCGCGCGACGCCGCGCCCGACGGCCGCGCCGACGCCCTGCGACCCGGCGAACGCGCCCGAGGCGCCCGAGCTCGCGTCCGTCCGCATCTCGGACAACGGCGCGGGCGTGATCTTCACCTTCGACGTCCCGACGGACCGCTTCGGCAAGGGCGGGGCGAACTTCGACTGCGCGGACCTCGTGACGATCGACGGCGCCGCGGACTACTGCGCGTTCCGCGAAGCGACGCTGCTCGAGGCCGTGCTCGGCGCGTCGAGCCAGATCGAGCCCGGGTCGACGGCGACGCTCCTCGCCGGCAAGCTCCGCACCGAGGGCGCCGAGCACTGCTTTCCCGCGTCGGACCGGGCGTCGTCGGCCGTCGTCGAGGGCCCCGCGAACCCGGTCGCGCCGACCGTCGTCTTCGACGCGCCGAAGACCGTCGGCACCTGCGACGAGCTCGTCGTCGACGCGTCGACGACCCAGGGCAGCGGCGGCAGGCCCTGGAAGAGCGTGACGTGGGACGCGACGGCCGAGGGCGCGTCGCCCGACCAGGCCCGGGTCGTCGCCGACGCCGCCGCCGCGGCCGAGAACGAGGACACCTACGTCGTCGCGGCCGCGACCCTCGGCGGCGTCCAGCTCCGGATCTCCGCGACGTTCCTCAGCTACCTCGGCGCCACCGGCAGCGCGTCGCACGCCGCGAGCGTCGCGGCCGGCGCGCTCCCGTCCGTCAAGATCGTCGGCGGCGAGGCCCAGACCGTCCAGCGCTCCGAGGGGCTTCGCGTCCAGGCGCAAGCGTCGGCGGCGACGGCCTGCGGCGACCTCGACACGTCCGCGCTGACCTACGCCTGGGAACTGACGGCGACGGACCCCGCGGACGCGACGCTCGGGATCGACGAGTCCCAGGACCCGCGCTACTTCGAGTCGCTGCCGTTCGAGTTGGACGGCGGCGCGACGTACGCGCTGCGCGTCGTCGTCACCGACGGCGCCGGGCTCTCCAACGCCGCGGAGGCGGCCGTCTCCGTCGCGGCGGCGCCTCTCGTCGCGCTCGTCGCGGGCGGTTCGTTCCGGACCGTGTCGGCGACGGACCTGCTCGTGCTCGACGCGTCCGAGTCCTACGACCCGGACGTGGTTCCCGGCGACGAGAGCGATCTCGCCTTTCTGTGGACGTGCGCCGGCGACGGCTGCGGGTCCCTCGAGTCCTGGAACGAGGGGGCGTCGACGCTGGCCCTGGTCGCGTCGACGCCGGGCTCGTACGCCTTCGACGG